TTATAATTTTTCGATTTCTTACATCTAATATCTAATATCTAATGTCTATCTTTCATTTTTTCCTATCGCTAATTAACAAATACATTTCAATCTCGTTTCACAGAATCGAATTCGTTGTTCAGAATCAAATTCATCTTCGCTCGAGCTAATTTTATTTTTGAAATCCATTTTTTTTTGTTACTTTACTATAATATGATTATAGTTACTAGAGAAATTATGATATGACTATAGTTTTGGAGGAATATCTTATTTTAAAGTATAAGTTTACAACATTTCTTAATAAATAAATAAATAATGAGACAAGGAATTTATTCGTAATAATACTGGGTTCTTATTAATAGATAACGAAATCTAGCATGAATAAACAAATGTTGCACAGTAGTTCGAAAGATTTTTTTCCAATTTTGAGTTTATATGAAGATTTAATTTTTAGAAAACAATATTGCTTTTTATTATTATAATTTATTATTTAATTAAAAATGAAATCTAACCTAAAAATATAACTAAATATATAAAAAATATATAGTATAAAAATACAGTAGAAAAATATGTAAAATAAAGTAGAAAAAAAATTAATAAATACTTAAATCAAAATAAAAAAAATTTTAATGTTAAATAAGAGTTATTATATATTACATTGAAACAATTATTTTTTATAAATTTGAAAATAAATTTTCTCTACTTTTAATACATTATTCGAATCACTGTGCGTCGTGGCGACTGAGAGTCGCCTCCGGATCGCGGAGGGTTAATCCTTTGCATTCGAATGGTGACTTTCAGCCACCACCATGGTTCAATGTTCTCAGGCACGATTTTCTTTCCTTTAAGCTCTTCACGTGTAATCTTACGAAGTGTAGAACAATATGATATCCAATTAGATAGATTTTCTTATTTTAAAAAATAAATTGTATCTTCGACAGAGTTTGACAGTGATGGTTTTAATAAGAATATTATTTTCAAAGTTTCGAATAAGCATAGAATAGTAATGATTGGTTCAAGTTGAAGATGAAGTTCGATTCTTCGTTCATCATCATTTGATGAAATTACTTCTATTTCATAAAGAAATTGGTAGAGAGAAGAAGAAAGATGAGAATAGAGATAGTATAAAAAATAAGAATAATTGAAATTGAGAGCATGCCAACGGTTTAAGAAGAATCGTAAAATCCACTTTCAACGAAAAAAGGCGAAAGACATTTTACATTCGTTACTTGCTCTGAAGATGCATCTTGCTTTATAAAATATCGTACGAAACAATGTTTTTACAGAGTTTAATATTCGACAAATTTTCATTCCTTCCCTAATGTAAAGACACAAAATTCACACGGAAAATCGTCGTCGACTCGACCGATCCATGGATCCCATCGAAGGTTCTTTCAAGGTCCTTTCATTTCCACTACTACTATTCTATTCTTCTTGGCTCGAAATTATTTTATTACGATATTTCCAAACTTCGCTTCGAGAGATCTTAAACCGAGCTCTTTCCAAATATTTTCGGTTGCAATTTTCGTTTTGAAAGAGAGGGCTCGGCCCGAAACAGTTTCTCAGCCGGTTACTTGGACCGATTTCCTGCACGATCTACGAACCGTTCCTGGAAAGAGGCGTCCCCGGCCGGGGTGGTCCGGCCGCCCTCGTCACGCCACGTCCCGATCGAAAGCCGAGCGCGTGGTCCTCGTTCGAAACAGTCGAATTATCCTTTCCCTCCGTTCTCCCAATTCTGATAATTAATAGCGGCGTTGAGCCCGAAATAGGGGAGAAACGTATATATTCCCCTCTTTAGAAAGGAAGAGGAGAAGGAATAGAGGAAGGAATAGAAGAAAAGAATAAAACGTGATAATATATATATATATATTTTAGTCGTCGCACAGTAGTTCGAATGATAGAGACGAATGGATGAAATTATTTTGTTTCCAGAGTTTGAGCTGATATACGGAAATTTAATTTTTAGAGAATGATATTGATTTTTATAAATAAATGTAAGTAAATATGTAAAAAAATTGACATTGCGTTTAATTGGTATAGGATAAAAAAGAAAATGCAAATAATCGATGTATAAAAATATATAAATATATAAATATACAGGAAAATGAAAGATATAAAATAGAAATGAAAATTAATAAATATTTAAACGAAAAAGGACAAAACAAAGTAACAGTTTTTTAAAAAATATATATTTGAATGTGATGATTTTTTATCTTCATTCAATAATTTTTTTTTTCTTCTTTGTCTATATTTTTTTTTTTTTAATAAATTTCTTGATTTAACGAATTTTTAAATTTTATTTTAAAATTAATTTTTTTTTCTTTTGGTGGTTCTCAAAAACCGTTTATTAATGGATCAAAAAGTTTATTAATAACATTGTTAATAGATTCAAATTCGTATCTAGCCTTGCCATTTTACGAGTATTTTTTTCTCGATATCTACTATCAAAAATCTTTATGCTTTGCGTTTCTTCATTTGACCAATTGGAAGTATGAAAAATTGAACGATACTCTTTGATAAAATAATTGTGCAAAGTTACTGGCATGAGTATATTAATATTATGACCAATAAAATTCCTAAATTCTTTATTAATGTTTAGTAATGTTTTTTATCAATTGCCATAATTTTTTTTTTTTTTTGGAAATTTAAAAAATTCACGCGCTATATTTCTGTCATTAGTTGCACCAAAACCTGATTTTGGCTTATCGACAATTATGACGTTATGCAACTCGAGTAAGAGTTTTATTCATCTTAAATTTCGTTATTTTCAATTAATAAGAGCATCGATTTACGAATATTCCTTGCTTCTTTATTTCTTTACTAGGAAATATTGTAAGCTTATATTTTAAAATAAGATATTTCTCCGAAACTTTGATCCTGATAATGTTAGTTCAGGCAAAATTCTTAAAAAAGAAAAAAAAAATAAATTTCGAAAATGAAATTAGCTCGAGATGAATTTGATTTTGAACCGTTGAGAAATCGATGATTGATTCTCGAAGTGAATTAGCGATAGAGAAAGCAGCGATGAAGATAGCGGTATTGTTTGATTAATTCTTATATTCTTTATAAGTTGGTAAAAGAAGATCACTTATCTATGATTTATAAAAATTTTAGTGTATCAATTGACAGCTTCGACATCGATCATCAATTATAATGAAATTCGATCAAATGGGAAGCTCCGTGTAACTTTAACGAAAGCAAAAAAAAAAAAAAGAAAAAAGATCGAAAGATTTATTCTCGCCGAAACAAACCAGGTGAAAAACGATAAACCAAGAATACGTCTCGACGAATGCTTTACAAATTATCACGCAAAAATACAGAAATTAATATCAAAAAATCACTATTTTATTCAAAGATGCGAATAAGATGCAAATTATCAAAATATAGTGTTTTTGTAGGTTAAGATTTGTGTCGTCGTAAAAACACAGTCTACGTGTATCCGTTAAGACCGTTCGTCGCGCATGCGCGACGAAATCATCTCGAGTCGCCACTTGGCCCGACTGAAAATGTCGTCGAGCGAAATAATAGCATCGAAAGCAAGAAGCTTTTCATCCATCGAGATCTCACTCTATCTTCTCTCTGGCTTTATCTTATCCGCATTCTTTATTCTGTCTATTCTATTCTCTATCTATTCAATAGAGGCTGTAACGTTCGGTGTAGTGTTCGGTTCGCCGAGTCAGGAGAGCAGAGAGCTGGTGGTGGCCGAGAGTGAATCCGTCCGCACCGTACGGTTGGCAACCGGATCCCGAGAGCTGTTCCGTTTACGGATCGAGTTGGAACTCGAGAATAAGGGAAGGAGCGAAAGTTGGCGGGAGAAATCGAAAGGGAATAGGAGGAAAGATGCGTCATCACCTGAGACGGAAACGGGATTTTCGTCCTATCCTGAAAAGGTGTAAATCAGGGGGGGGGAGGTGTTGACTCGAGAATCTCTTGATAAGACACGATACGACTCGATTTCGTGACTTTCCCCGTTTCAAACTCGCGTGTAATAGATTAATGGGCCGAGTCAACGAAATCCAACTTGGAAAAATAGTTTAGAACTCTAGTAGTTGGATTGAAATCCGAAAATGATCGAAAGTTATGATTAATTAAAATCGAATTATTAATCGTGACTATCGATTATTAAATAATCAGTAATAAAAAATTGTTGCAATCAATGATTATTAATTATTAATCGTGAAGTGATTACATTTTTTACATAGTTTTAGATTTTACGTAGAAAATTCTTAGAACGAGTTATTTATTTTTTACTGTAATTTGCGCTCTTAACGCAATTCATATTTCCAACACTTTATCCGATAATTCGTGAGTTCTTTTGATATGTATATCATCATAGCGTGTGAAAATAATCTCTCGACAGGAGGCGAAAATGGCAGTGATGTATGGTATATAAAATAGAAATGAGTAGAGCAAACATCAACAATAACGTTCAGTTCTTCCGAATTAGTGATATAACACTGGACAATTACGATAACGCGAACAACTTTATTATCCAATTATCGTTGACGATAAGAGGACAAGCCAACGATAATCGTTGAATGATTACAAATATAATAACAAGTAATAGCAATATAATCGTGATTACTGATTTATTTCGAATAAAGAGTTATCAACTTATTATTTCGAAAAAAAGAGTTATCAACTTATCTTTAAAGGAGAGATCTTGGAGGAAGAATTTTTCAGAATTTAAAAGCATCGTTTAAAGATAAACAGTATCGACGATTTAGCAATCGTCGAAGACGCTGATTGATTTATCGGATTACGTTATATCGTTAAATTTATCTACGATAAAAGGAAGTTGGCCAAGTTTGAGCTTCGTTTTACACGTGTATATATATATATATATCTAAGATGTTGGTGGAGATAGGCAGGACGGAGGAATAAAAGAAACTGGGTAACTCGAGGCAATTGTAATGGATCGAACGGGTTTTTTTTTTGGCACGCGGGATAAGGAGTTTCATTGTCAGCGAGCGAGCGTAACGGTGAATTAACGGCTAAAAGAATGGGTTGTCTCGTTGCAGATGCTGCCCTCGCTATACCTTCCTCGCCCGTATCTGGTCGACGAGATTGCGCTCCGATTATGGTGAGTAAGCGCGCCTTCCTTTCCGTTTCCTATCAATTATTTATGACTCCGCGCGCCACGCCATCCCACCACTCTGATCCGATCAAGGACGACGACTCGCGATCGGGAGTAGGGAGTCCCTGTTTTTCACCGAATTTCCATTAACCCCATTAACTTTTAGCGGATACTTTTAGCACAGCCGATCGCTCTAAAAAAAAAAAATATTTTACTAAAATCAAATCATAATACTAGACAACGTAAAAGAAGTGAGAAAGTAACGTGTAACGAAGCGTAAACGTAACGTAAGTTGTTATTACAAAAATCTAAAATCTCAAAACTTCATCACTGTATTCGTCAACATTTTTATTCAACGCGCCTTTTTCTTCAGGAACTGGAAGAAATAGAAGACTTATTCGTATTAGAGAAAATTCGTAAAAATATAGTTTGAAAAAGATTCGAATAAATGAGACTAAAATAGAATAAGAAATAAAAACATGCAAGAAAATAAATATATACATTCTAATATTAAATTATATTACCAAAGTGATATTCTATTTCAAAACATTTTTCTTATTGTATTTATTTTATTTTTATTTCATTTGGTATATAAACCGCACCTGTAGTTAAGTCTTACGTTCTTCTTATGCTCTTTTTCTATTCCCTTGGATTATCATGCACGAGACGAAGAGAAACGATATCGTAAAAATTAATGGCGGGTTTCGTTTGCGCCCGAAGACGCGCGTATCCTATTTCACGAACGAGAGAGAGAGAGAGAGAGAGAGAGAGAGAGAGAGAGAGAGAGAGAGAGAAGCGCGTTCGAGGATAGATAAGGAACTCGTGGAACCGTGAATACCGCGGCGTAGATCGCGATCGAAATAGTTGGCCGCGCGATTTTCCTCCTCTCGATTCACCGTTACCCGTTACCTTCTCCAGATGCCGAGAGAAAGAACGGAAGGCCTCTGATCTCGGCCATCGTCCAATTAAAAGAGCCGGGAGAAAAATCGAGGCATTTGCCTGGAAGAACGGGAAGATCGGTACGATAGCGGTGCGCGTTTGTCGCGGCCAACATCCTGTCGCGAACTCGAGCACGCCTCGACACGGATTGGTGGTACGCGCGTTGCGCGCTGCTTGTACGCACGGTACAGTTACGCCGCCAATATATATATATATAAATATATATATAAATATATATACCGTTCACCCGTGAAAATATCCGATTCGTCTAACTCGTGTTCGTGATCCAAGAGCGTCTGAAAGATTATCGATAGAATATCGTTGATAAGATAAGCGATATCACAGTCGGCGATTCGAGTTAAAGAATAATATATATATATATTTGGATGAGGCGCGAAGAGAGTGAAATTTCGTCCAGAGTCGAAAATCGAGTTCGAGTCGAAAGCGAAAGCGACCGTTAATTTGTTCGCTTTTGAAGCGAGAGGAAGAGGTTGAAACTCGAAACTCTTCTCCCGAGGCATAGAAATAGCGATTAGAAAGATCGATCGAGATTTTTAAGCTATGAAACGCGAATTCGTTGATAAAAGCAAAGGATTTTTTTTAGTCCATTACACGCGGTCTCTTGATAATTCGAATGATTCGATTCCATCGATCTTGCATTCGATCGAAGTTCGATTCGAAGGGGAATGCGATCTTCGTCGATCGATAGTGGCGAAAAAGATAGGCGCGGTTGGAAAAGATATCGCGTCCACGTTTTCCCTTGGAAACGTCCTCCTCGATCTTTCGCGATCGAAACGCCCGGAGAAACGAGCCATTCCTCGTCTTCGGGACAAAGTTGGGCGATCGAGAGAATCGTGACTCGAGCCTGATCATCCTCCAGATTTATGTACGTTCTCGCGCACAATCGACATCGTGCCTCGTCGAGATAAGATCGAAGAGACGCTTTTCCTCGGATAAAATCCCACGAAGAGGAAAGCGGAACGAATCGAAAATCGATTCATCCCTCCTCGATTTCATCCTTCCCTTCCACGCGTAGAATTCGCAGAGATAAGATCGAGAAGCGCCTCTCTTTTTCGAAGGAATCGTGACTCGTGCACGATCATCCTTCGAAAATCACGGATAAACGTGGAGAAAGATAAGCATCTTGGAACATACACGGACTCTCGATTCCAATCGCCTATCCGTAACGGTCGGGCGTAACGAGTGTGCGCTGGCCTCCCCGACCAGCGCCTGTCGTTGCGCGGCAGCAACGTGACCCGTAAAGTTGGCCGGTTAACTCGCTTTCGTCCGAAAGGACATTCCCAAGGTTCGTCGCGGGGACGAAGGTGGAGGAAGAGAAGAAGGAGGGGGAGGAGAAGACACCGTGGCGGAACTAGCTAGCTTCGATAGCTTCGATTCGTGGCAAGGATCGATGGAGAGCGAGCGCGGACTCGTTACGGGGCCTCGTGACTCAGCCGAGTGGAATTTCGCGACACGCGATACGACCGGCCTCTAGCGGCGGTTTATTAACGCGGCGCGGCCAATTCCGAGCACGGGCGAGCATTAGAAATCCTCCGTGGGCCGGGCGCGCGCGCACGCCCGACCGTGAAAGGATTTCAACTGCAACGCGCGCACGTTCGGTCACGGAATCTCGTCTGGCAACGATACACGCGCGCGCGCGCGCGCACCTTCTTTTATTCCTCTAGAGAGAATACGTACGTATATATATATATATATATATATATATGTATGGAGGAAAATTCTCTGTATTATATTTATCGATCCCCTGGCTACGAGGAAGAGAGAGCGTATCGTATACGCTAGAGGTAAGAGAGAAAACCGGTCCTTTATAATTAGAGGATCGAGCATGGTAAAGCCGCGCACTCCGAATAAACCGGCGAGCGCGATTTCGGTCTTTTGCCGATCCCTTAATCGCCGCCTCTGCTGGCTTGCGAAACGACTTATCTACAGTGGGTAACGAAAGTATTCGAACGCTTACGTTTGCAATTTTTGATGAACGAAATATATAGGTTAAAGAAACTTGTTTAATACAATGAGGGGTGTGTAATAGGAGGGAAATCTCAAGATTATGTCAGCAAAATTTGAAAATGATTCATCGATTTATGCGGTAGTTATAATACGTTTATTATATACAGGCACATTTAACATAAATATTTCGTTGGACCACCTTTGGTGGTGATAATTTGTCTCGGTCGACTGGTTTCATATTGCGAACCAGTAATTTTGTAAAATTACGATCGATGGAATTCCATATTTCTATAATTTTTTCTTTAAACGAAGATATTCGAAATTTGTTTAATTTTTTGCCCATTTTCCATGGGATTTATATCTGGACTCTGCAGTCGAGTATTTAACATATGGGATATATCGTATACGATCCATTCTTTCTGTCTTGTCGAAAGTACAAGTCTTCCAACAATCTCAACTTGTGGCCATTATCTTTGAGGTTGTTCTTTAGAATATGTAGATATTTATATATTTATCGAGTATTCCGTCGTTAAATACTAAATTCCCTATAACTGCCATGCAGTCCAACACCATGACCACTGTGTTTTACCGTTCAACATACATTTTGATCTTCTCCATACGTAATTTCTCTCATTCGAATTAAAAATATTAAACTTAGATTCATCGAAGAATATCATTTTTTCCCAAAAAGCATTATCTTCCAAATTACAAATATTTTTGCAAAAGTCAATCTCTTCTTTTGATTTTGCTTATTGACGTACAGTTTTCTTCTTGATATCTACTCTATCATGAAAATTATCATTTTACCAGACTCGTCGACATAATTGACGATAAACATCTTTTAGTTTTCAATTTTCTTAATCGATCCGAATGAGTTTTATTCACAACCGTTTCTTTAATTTTTGTTTTTTTTTATAATGTACCATAGATTTACAGTTTTTTCTATCTCGCTATACGATTTCCTTATACAGCCAAAGGATAGTTTCTCTTCGCATTTTCCAATTCATTCTTAATATTATACCGCACACTTTTACTATTACGTAAAAATCCTCTCGCTTAGTACCAGCGTTTACATTTCTGACTGTAAAATGTATAAAAACTACCAACAACGTATTCGACACTTTTGCAACCTATTACTACCCCGTATATATAATTTATTATAACTGCTATAAATCGGTGAATCATTTTCAAATTTTGCCAATATAATCTTCCTCCTACTATATACTTGGCGGCGATTTTTCCGAGAGGGGAGGGGTATTCGAATTATTCGGATTAAAAGGCGCGCGTGAAGGAAGGAAACGTCGTCAATCGAGCGACGGATCCTGTATCCACGCAGGAGGATTTGATACGATTTGAACGCGTTTGCTCGTCGGGGAGGGGGAAATGAAAGGTATTGCGAACAATTGATTAATTCGCTGGATTCACCGATAATTGCTACCGTAACCAACGAGACAACGAAATATTGTTCGACAATTAGATTTCGCGGTGGAGAGAAAGAGAAAGAGGAGATCGATGTCCGAGCTTGGTGTCGAAAATCAATCGAGGGAATGGAACAGCGTTGTTCCCGGCCCGTGTGAGAGCATATGTATATATATATATATATATATATATATATATATATATTTTTTTTCTTCGTCCCTTTTTTTTTACCGGCAACACTCTAATCCTAACGCCGCGGATCAAAGAGGCCTCGAGATCCGCCTGGCTCATCGCTCATAATGACGCCTCGATGCCTGGAATTATCGCAGATGGACGAGAGATTCCATCGCCACCGATCGACGAAATTTGCCGCCCCGCAGTTTTGGGCAGCTCGGGGGGACGAAGAGAGAAGGATAAAAAGAAGAAGGGAAAGAGAGGAGGATCAGGCCCTTTCTGCTCGGCCTCAGATCCTTCTTCTTTCTCGTCGCTGCTTCGCTCGAGGAGCATCGATCGACGCCCTGTGAGAAAATTGAAAATAAAAATAAAAGAGTTAAGGAGAGAGAGAGAGAGATACACAGATGGTGGGAAAGCGAGAAGGACACTAGAAAGGAGGCGTAAGGAAGAATTTTAAAAATTTTATTTATCGCATAATTGGATCGAAATTTGGGTTATATCAGTAT